TTTTTTTACCGATGTTTATTTACAGGTTATCCTACCAGAAGACACTTCGAATGTTCTCAATGATGAAAAAAGTAAAGAGTCAAAAAAATCTTCTAAAAAAATTTTAAAACGTTCAAAATCGGAATCAACACATGATCGTCGATCAGTGAAAAAATCTGCTACTAACGTACCATCAATAAATGATAATGAATCATCAAATACAACAACAAAACCTACACGTCGACGTTTTTTTTCACGTAAAAATAATAAATTAAAAAAACAGATATCTATAGAAGATGAAAATAATCAAAATTCATTACAACAGCAAACAAATGTTGATGAAATTCGTCAGAAAAATAATAAAATACCACGTAGATCAAAAAGTTTTAATGAACATTCTCCTCGAACATTATCACCACCACCTGATTATGAACAATCAACAATAAATGATATAACTCCATTGCAAACAACTATAAAATGGAAAAATGAACATCAATTTTATCCAATGACTACAACATTGGATTTAACGAGTACTGATTTAGATGATGATGAAGATTTCGATGAAGATGAAGAAATGAGTGTGCCTTTACTTGTTACTGTTTTTGTCATTCCGCTTTATTTAACACTTGGAGCAATTCTTTTTAGTATATGGGAACAGTGGAGTTTTCTTAATGCATTTTATTTTTGTTTTATTACATTAACTACAATTGGTTTTGGTGATTTTGTACCGGGCTCATCATTAAAAGTTGAAGCTGAAAAAGAAAAACTTATATCTGCTGCTGTATATATTTTATTTGGTCTCGTGCTTATCGCAATGTGTGTTAATCTAATGAAAGAACAATTAAGTCAAAAAGTCAAAAAAGTTGCTAGCAAATTGGGCAAATTCTGAATTTTAGGAACATTTTTCATAAATATGTGCGCGTCTGTTTGTTTTTTTTTTTCTTTGTCTCTGTACCTTTCTAATAAATAAAAAACGACAGAAGCCATATGATATAACTAGGCAAGTATAAATTTTATATATAAAAGTTCGAATTTGATCAAAAATAAAAAAAATTTAATTATAGATTCTATTTCATTTTTATTATGTAAATCTTTTAATAAAATACTTTTCCGATTGAAATGTCAAATAGTTATACTATACTTTCTGTGTTGTCAATATTTATTAGATAATAGAAAGAAAATATTTACTAAATTGAGTATTTTACATAAAACAGTATACCGAAATTGGTCTGTACATATCTTAACAAGAATATCAATCAAAGATACGATCTCATTCCAAATCCTTAGATACACAAGAAAATTTAAGCTGAAAAGACTATCTACTAAATTTTGCATTGTTTTCATCAAATTTACTATTGTTTTTTGATATGTTTACATGAATCTGATGTTCAATCTACAGTCTTTCTTTCGAAAGGAAAAAGACAGATTCATGATGGCTGCTGCCAGTTTCAAATAGTTTCATGATTGTCTTGCTTACCTCTTTATGTTTACTTTCTCGTGACGATTAGTATCTTATAGAAGGCTATTCAAAAACTATATATTATTATGCAGAAAGCGAAAACATCGGTTAAGCTTAGGCTACGTACTAAAATAAAACGTCTTGCATGCATTTTACTTTGCGACACATTTCTAAAATGTGATTCAAATCCGCTATTCAGTGCACTTATTATTTTTTCAGTTCAATTCGAATCAGCAATACCTATTCTTGCAGCTGAAGACGATTAAATCTCAATCAGACTGCTTCAAAGCACTCCTTCATCGGTCATTGATCAATATTTCAGCATGTTTTCGACCAACAATGAATCAAGAAATAATCTAGAAAAAAATACGAAAATATATAAGTTCAGTATTGTTCCATTGAGTTAATTGTACTTAGGGTATACCAAAAGTTCTGATCACAGCGTTACTTAACCAT